TGCAGCGTAACTACCTCCGTGAAGCTACTATCTATCGCACTCTCCGCCTCCTATTTTGTTAGCTCATGGTGACGTGTAAAATGTTGCACGTTAAGTGTGTTCATATTTTCCACATTCAGTGATTCTTTTAAGCTTGCTCTTGCTCTTAGCTTATGTTGATATTCTAATGTGTCTGTTAAACACTTGGAATTTCTGCGACATTTCCTGTGCAGAAGTCGTGTTTCTGTGGGCAAGGGAGGGATGGTAAATTATAGAAAGCAGTGTTCGGTGTATGGTGCGGTGGCTCCCTCTACGGGTGGGTTAACCACTCTGCACATGGATTGAAATTGGTGGAGTCATATTCATTAAATTATTCTTCAGTAGAGACCAGATAAATCCATTTAAAGATCAAGCTAAAATGTAGTTGAATACTAATATTCAACTATTTAAACAAAAAACATTGCATGGCTGGATGAAAAGATCTATTTTCAATTTTATATTAGTTCAATATGAGCTGATACCAGTAGCATCATCTCCATATGCTTACAGAATCACAGAATTTGTTACACTATAGAAGGAGACCATTCATCCCATTGTACCTGCACTAGCTCTATTATCTCGTGCCAATCTCTACTGCCTTTTCCCCCAATTCCTGCATACTATGTCTATCCAAAGAAAACGTGCAAAGCCATCTTGAATACCTCAGTCAAACCTGCTCCCACTATATTTCTAGGCAGTACGTTTCCATTCCCAAATTATTTGTTACATGAAAAGTACTTTCTTTTCCCCTCGTCACCCTTACTTTTTTTGCACGTCACTTTAAATCCATGCTCTCTTGTTCTTTTTTCTTTTACAAGCAGAAACAGCTTCACCCTGTCTTTGTCCAGCCTGCTCATGATTTTGAAAACTTCACTCGGATCTCCTGTTGTCTGCCTTCTTTCCACAGAAGTTTCCCAACTTCAATCTGTCCTCCTAACTTAACTTTCTCATACCTGGAACCATTCCAGTGATTCACTTCTGCACTCTCTCTTATCCATTCTCATCTTCCCTAAAATGCAGCGCCTACAACTGTATACAACATTCTAACTGTGGGCCAACAAGTGTATTGTACAAGTTCATCACCTTCTTTCTGTTGTACTCTATGCCAAGAACATTGCATACTTTATTTGCTGCTCTCTCAACCTGTCCTATCACTTTCAATGATCTGTGCACGTATACACTCGGATTCTTCTGCTCTTGCAACTCTTTTCCAGAATTGTATCCCCTATTTTATGTTGTCTTTGTGTTCTTCTGACCAAAGTACACTACCTCTCATTTCTCTGTTTTGAACCTCACCCACCACCTATCTGCCCTCTCCACCAACATGTCTGTATACATCAGTGGTTTTCATTTACATTATTCTAAATCTTTTGCTTAAACAGAAGACATTGATCCCTGTCTCTGTTTCTTGTTTTGTTTTGTTTCTAATGAGTATAATTTGTCACCGTAATTTATTGCCTACCTCACCTCGTGTTTTGTTCCACTTGTATTTGTTTGTTAAAAAAACTCATCTGACACCTATTTCAAAGCCAATGGGTATTAGATCTTTGAAGAGTTCACACTGTTGTTAAGTAGGAAGCACAGCAGCCAAATCTGCACTGAGCAAGCTCTAGCAATGAAAACAGATGATCATCTGTATTTATAGAAACAGAGAATTGGAGCAGGAGTAGGCTGTTGGCACTTGGAACCGGCTCCACCATTCAGTATGATCTTGGCTGATCATCGAACTTAGTCTCCTGTTCCCACTTTAATGCCATACCTCTAATCCCTTTTAACCCTAAGAATTATAAGTAACTTCTGCTTGAAAACATTTTGTTTTGGCCTCAACTGCTTTCTGCAGCAGAGAATTCCACAGGATCACCACATCCTTGGTCCTAAATGTCCTAACCCATATCCTTAAACTGGGACCCCTGGTTCAGGACTCTTGGTTATCAGGAACATTCTTCTTGCATTTACTCTGTGTAGTTCTGTTGAGAACTTTATAGGTTTCTATACGATCTTCCTTCATTCTTCTGATATTCGAGTGAATGTAGTTTTAACCAATTCAGTCTCTCGTAATATGCATCATCCCAGGAATCCCAAGCCTCTGTTTCACTTCCTCCATAGCTAGAACATTTACCCTCCGATAAGGAGGCCAAAACTTCACTCAATAGATGAAAACTGCTCACAATTCTGTATTGCATAAGAGAAGAAAAATTGGTGAGGATGCAAAGACAAGCCTTCTGCTCTTTGAAATGTGCTGTAGGATCTTTAGTGTCCACCCAAGAGGACGGAGCATGTAATATTACCTTTTGAAGGTTGGTGTCTTTGGAAATGCTGCACTCCATCAGTACTACCCTGAAGTATTCTGAACTCAAGACCTGAGAATTGGATTTGAATCCACAATCTTGTGTCTCCAGCTCAAAAGTACAATCTACTTTTTAAAAAAAAAAAAAAATCGATTGGTGCCTGTTCCAAGTTTGTCAGCCTCTTTGATGGAGATGCAGTATCTGCCCTTGCATTTCCCTTCCAACTCCCAAGTACCCAGACACTGCTTCCATTTTTAGAGTCCTATATTGTATTTTATTTTTTGGTATTTGCTCCTTGGTATCAGATGTTGCTCCAGTGAAGCTTAATGGAAGCGAGGAGGATAGCATCTCATATTTTAATGTTTACTCAGAACAACATTGAGTTCAAAATTTCAGACCGTAACCTGTGCCCCCATCTTTTAGGACAGCAATGTTGATATTGGTTTTACCTTTCACTTTGGTTTGAGACTCTCTTTATCGTTAATCAATCCTGCCCAGCACACACAGTCCATTTTGCTTTCTCCTCCCCCTTATCTACTATCTTCCCGGTGCTTACTCAAAAACCGTTAAATCGCTAACATTTTGCAGTTCTGATCGAGGCTTGTCGGCCTGAAACACACAACCTGGTTCTCCTGCCACGGAGGCTGCCTGATCTGCCATGTATTTCCAGAATTCATTTGACTTATTTTGGCTTGTCTCTCCAGGGTGACTAAATAAGAAGCTAAATTAAGGATACCAAGGTGTAGAGCTGGATGAACACAGCAGGCCAAGCAGCATCAGAGGAGCAGGAAGGCTGACGTTTTGGGCCTA